TCCCTTCATCATCCATGCTCCCTTCATCATTCATGCTCCCTTCATCATTCATGCTCCCTTCATCATTCATGCTCCCTTCATCATTCATGCTCCCTTCATCATTCATGCTCCCTTCATCATCCATGCTCCCTTCATCATTCATGCTCCCTTCATCATCCATGCTCCCTTCATCATCCATGCTCCCTTCATCATCCATGCTCCCTTCATCATTCATGCTCCCTTCATCATTCATGCTCCCTTCATCATTCATGCTCCCTTCATCATCCATGCTCCCTTCATCATTCATGCTCCCTTCATCATCCATGCTCCCTTCATCATCCATGCTCCCTTCATCATTCATGCTCCCTTCATCATTCATGCTCCCTTCATCATTCATGCTCCCTTCATCATTCATGCTCCCTTCATCATTCATGCTCCCTTCATCATTCATGCTCCCTTCATCATTCATGCTCCCTTCATCATCCATGCTCCCTTCATCATCCATGCTCCCTTCATCATTCATGCTCCCTTCATCATTCATGCTCCCTTCATCATTCATGCTCCCTTCATCATCCATGCTCCCTTCATCATCCATGCTCCCTTCATCATCCATGCTCCCTTCATCATTCATGCTCCCTTCATCATTCATGCTCCCTTCATCATCCATGCTCCCTTCATCATTCATGCTCCCTTCATCATTCATGCTCCCTTCATCATTCATGCTCCCTTCATCATTCATGCTCCCTTCATCATTCATGCTCCCTTCATCATTCATGCTCCCTTCATCATTCATGCTCCCTTCATCATTCATGCTCCCTTCATCATTCATGCTCCCTTCATCATTCATGCTCCCTTCATCATTCATGCTCCCTTCATCATTCATGCTCCCTTCATCATTCATGCTCCCTTCATCATCCATGCTCCCTTCATCATCCATGCTCCCTTCATCATCCATGCTCCCTTCATCATCCATGCTCCCTTCATCATTCATGCTCCCTTCATCATTCATGCTCCCTTCATCATTCATGCTCCCTTCATCATTCATGCTCCCTTCATCATTCATGCTCCCTTCATCATTCATGCTCCCTTCATCATTCATGCTCCCTTCATCATCCATGCTCCCTTCATCATTCATGCTCCCTTCATCATTCATGCTCCCTTCATCATTCATGCTCCCTTCATCATCCATGCTCCCTTCATCATCCATGCTCCCTTCATCATTCATGCTCCCTTCATCATTCATGCTCCCTTCATCATTCATGCTCCCTTCATCATTCATGCTCCCTTCATCATCCATGCTCCCTTCATCATCCATGCTCCCTTCATCATTCATGCTCCCTTCATCATTCATGCTCCCTTCATCATCCATGCTCCCTTCATCATTCATGCTCCCTTCATCATTCATGCTCCCTTCATCATTCATGCTCCCTTCATCATCCATGCTCCCTTCATCATCCATGCTCCCTTCATCATCCATGCTCCCTTCATCATCCATGCTCCCTTCATCATTCATGCTCCCTTCATCATCCATGCTCCCTTCATCATCCATGCTCCCTTCATCATTCATGCTCCCTTCATCATTCATGCTCCCTTCATCATTCATGCTCCCTTCATCATTCATGCTCCCTTCATCATCCATGCTCCCTTCATCATCCATGCTCCCTTCATCATCCATGCTCCCTTCATCATTCATGCTCCCTTCATCATTCATGCTCCCTTCATCATTCATGCTCCCTTCATCATTCATGCTCCCTTCATCATTCATGCTCCCTTCATCATTCATGCTCCCTTCATCATTCATGCTCCCTTCATCATTCATGCTCCCTTCATCATTCATGCTCCCTTCATCATTCATGCTCCCTTCATCATTCATGCTCCCTTCATCATTCATGCTCCCTTCATCATTCATGCTCCCTTCATCATTCATGCTCCCTTCATCATTCATGCTCCCTTCATCATTCATGCTCCCTTCATCATTCATGCTCCCTTCATCATCCATGCTCCCTTCATCATCCATGCTCCCTTCATCATTCATGCTCCCTTCATCATCCATGCTCCCTTCATCATCCATGCTCCCTTCATCATTCATGCTCCCTTCATCATTCATGCTCCCTTCATCATTCATGCTCCCTTCATCATCCATGCTCCCTTCATCATCCATGCTCCCTTCATCATCCATGCTCCCTTCATCATTCATGCTCCCTTCATCATTCATGCTCCCTTCATCATTCATGCTCCCTTCATCATTCATGCTCCCTTCATCATTCATGCTCCCTTCATCATTCATGCTCCCTTCATCATTCATGCTCCCTTCATCATTCATGCTCCCTTCATCATTCATGCTCCCTTCATCATTCATGCTCCCTTCATCATCCATGCTCCCTTCATCATTCATGCTCCCTTCATCATTCATGCTCCCTTCATCATTCATGCTCCCTTCATCATTCATGCTCCCTTCATCATTCATGCTCCCTTCATCATCCATGCTCCCTTCATCATTCATGCTCCCTTCATCATCCATGCTCCCTTCATCATTCATGCTCCCTTCATCATCCATGCTCCCTTCATCATTCATGCTCCCTTCATCATTCATGCTCCCTTCATCATTCATGCTCCCTTCATCATTCATGCTCCCTTCATCATTCATGCTCCCTTCATCATTCATGCTCCCTTCATCATTCATGCTCCCTTCATCATTCATGCTCCCTTCATCATTCATGCTCCCTTCATCATTCATGCTCCCTTCATCATTCATGCTCCCTTCATCATTCATGCTCCCTTCATCATCCATGCTCCCTTCATCATCCATGCTCCCTTCATCATTCATGCTCCCTTCATCATTCATGCTCCCTTCATCATTCATGCTCCCTTCATCATTCATGCTCCCTTCATCATTCATGCTCCCTTCATCATTCATGCTCCCTTCATCATCCATGCTCCCTTCATCATCCATGCTCCCTTCATCATCCATGCTCCCTTCATCATTCATGCTCCCTTCATCATTCATGCTCCCTTCATCATTCATGCTCCCTTCATCATTCATGCTCCCTTCATCATTCATGCTCCCTTCATCATTCATGCTCCCTTCATCATTCATGCTCCCTTCATCATCCATGCTCCCTTCATCATCCATGCTCCCTTCATCATCCATGCTCCCTTCATCATCCATGCTCCCTTCATCATCCATGCTCCCTTCATCATTCATGCTCCCTTCATCATTCATGCTCCCTTCATCATTCATGCTCCCTTCATCATTCATGCTCCCTTCATCATTCATGCTCCCTTCATCATTCATGCTCCCTTCATCATTCATGCTCCCTTCATCATCCATGCTCCCTTCATCATTCATGCTCCCTTCATCATTCATGCTCCCTTCATCATTCATGCTCCCTTCATCATTCATGCTCCCTTCATCATTCATGCTCCCTTCATCATTCATGCTCCCTTCATCATCCATGCTCCCTTCATCATTCATGCTCCCTTCATCATCCATGCTCCCTTCATCATTCATGCTCCCTTCATCATCCATGCTCCCTTCATCATTCATGCTCCCTTCATCATTCATGCTCCCTTCATCATTCATGCTCCCTTCATCATTCATGCTCCCTTCATCATCCATGCTCCCTTCATCATCCATGCTCCCTTCATCATTCATGCTCCCTTCATCATTCATGCTCCCTTCATCATCCATGCTCCCTTCATCATTCATGCTCCCTTCATCATTCATGCTCCCTTCATCATTCATGCTCCCTTCATCATTCATGCTCCCTTCATCATTCATGCTCCCTTCATCATTCATGCTCCCTTCATCATTCATGCTCCCTTCATCATTCATGCTCCCTTCATCATTCATGCTCCCTTCATCATTCATGCTCCCTTCATCATTCATGCTCCCTTCATCATCCATGCTCCCTTCATCATCCATGCTCCCTTCATCATCCATGCTCCCTTCATCATCCATGCTCCCTTCATCATCCATGCTCCCTTCATCATTCATGCTCCCTTCATCATTCATGCTCCCTTCATCATTCATGCTCCCTTCATCATTCATGCTCCCTTCATCATTCATGCTCCCTTCATCATTCATGCTCCCTTCATCATCCATGCTCCCTTCATCATCCATGCTCCCTTCATCATCCATGCTCCCTTCATCATCCATGCTCCCTTCATCATTCATGCTCCCTTCATCATTCATGCTCCCTTCATCATTCATGCTCCCTTCATCATTCATGCTCCCTTCATCATTCATGCTCCCTTCATCATTCATGCTCCCTTCATCATCCATGCTCCCTTCATCATCCATGCTCCCTTCATCATCCATGCTCCCTTCATCATTCATGCTCCCTTCATCATTCATGCTCCCTTCATCATCCATGCTCCCTTCATCATTCATGCTCCCTTCATCATTCATGCTCCCTTCATCATTCATGCTCCCTTCATCATTCATGCTCCCTTCATCATTCATGCTCCCTTCATCATTCATGCTCCCTTCATCATCCATGCTCCCTTCATCATTCATGCTCCCTTCATCATTCATGCTCCCTTCATCATCCATGCTCCCTTCATCATCCATGCTCCCTTCATCATCCATGCTCCCTTCATCATTCATGCTCCCTTCATCATTCATGCTCCCTTCATCATCCATGCTCCCTTCATCATTCATGCTCCCTTCATCATTCATGCTCCCTTCATCATCCATGCTCCCTTCATCATCCATGCTCCCTTCATCATCCATGCTCCCTTCATCATCCATGCTCCCTTCATCATTCATGCTCCCTTCATCATTCATGCTCCCTTCATCATTCATGCTCCCTTCATCATTCATGCTCCCTTCATCATCCATGCTCCCTTCATCATTCATGCTCCCTTCATCATCCATGCTCCCTTCATCATCCATGCTCCCTTCATCATCCATGCTCCCTTCATCATTCATGCTCCCTTCATCATCCATGCTCCCTTCATCATTCATGCTCCCTTCATCATTCATGCTCCCTTCATCATTCATGCTCCCTTCATCATTCATGCTCCCTTCATCATTCATGCTCCCTTCATCATTCATGCTCCCTTCATCATCCATGCTCCCTTCATCATTCATGCTCCCTTCATCATTCATGCTCCCTTCATCATCCATGCTCCCTTCATCATTCATGCTCCCTTCATCATTCATGCTCCCTTCATCATTCATGCTCCCTTCATCATTCATGCTCCCTTCATCATTCATGCTCCCTTCATCATCCATGCTCCCTTCATCATTCATGCTCCCTTCATCATCCATGCTCCCTTCATCATTCATGCTCCCTTCATCATTCATGCTCCCTTCATCATCCATGCTCCCTTCATCATTCATGCTCCCTTCATCATTCATGCTCCCTTCATCATTCATGCTCCCTTCATCATCCATGCTCCCTTCATCATCCATGCTCCCTTCATCATCCATGCTCCCTTCATCATTCATGCTCCCTTCATCATTCATGCTCCCTTCATCATCCATGCTCCCTTCATCATTCATGCTCCCTTCATCATTCATGCTCCCTTCATCATTCATGCTCCCTTCATCATTCATGCTCCCTTCATCATTCATGCTCCCTTCATCATTCATGCTCCCTTCATCATTCATGCTCCCTTCATCATTCATGCTCCCTTCATCATCCATGCTCCCTTCATCATCCATGCTCCCTTCATCATTCATGCTCCCTTCATCATTCATGCTCCCTTCATCATTCATGCTCCCTTCATCATTCATGCTCCCTTCATCATTCATGCTCCCTTCATCATTCATGCTCCCTTCATCATCCATGCTCCCTTCATCATTCATGCTCCCTTCATCATTCATGCTCCCTTCATCATTCATGCTCCCTTCATCATCCATGCTCCCTTCATCATCCATGCTCCCTTCATCATCCATGCTCCCTTCATCATTCATGCTCCCTTCATCATCCATGCTCCCTTCATCATCCATGCTCCCTTCATCATTCATGCTCCCTTCATCATTCATGCTCCCTTCATCATTCATGCTCCCTTCATCATTCATGCTCCCTTCATCATTCATGCTCCCTTCATCATCCATGCTCCCTTCATCATCCATGCTCCCTTCATCATCCATGCTCCCTTCATCATCCATGCTCCCTTCATCATCCATGCTCCCTTCATCATTCATGCTCCCTTCATCATTCATGCTCCCTTCATCATTCATGCTCCCTTCATCATTCATGCTCCCTTCATCATTCATGCTCCCTTCATCATTCATGCTCCCTTCATCATTCATGCTCCCTTCATCATTCATGCTCCCTTCATCATTCATGCTCCCTTCATCATCCATGCTCCCTTCATCATCCATGCTCCCTTCATCATCCATGCTCCCTTCATCATCCATGCTCCCTTCATCATCCATGCTCCCTTCATCATTCATGCTCCCTTCATCATTCATGCTCCCTTCATCATTCATGCTCCCTTCATCATTCATGCTCCCTTCATCATTCATGCTCCCTTCATCATTCATGCTCCCTTCATCATTCATGCTCCCTTCATCATTCATGCTCCCTTCATCATCCATGCTCCCTTCATCATCCATGCTCCCTTCATCATTCATGCTCCCTTCATCATTCATGCTCCCTTCATCATTCATGCTCCCTTCATCATTCATGCTCCCTTCATCATTCATGCTCCCTTCATCATTCATGCTCCCTTCATCATTCATGCTCCCTTCATCATTCATGCTCCCTTCATCATTCATGCTCCCTTCATCATTCATGCTCCCTTCATCATTCATGCTCCCTTCATCATCCATGCTCCCTTCATCATCCATGCTCCCTTCATCATCCATGCTCCCTTCATCATCCATGCTCCCTTCATCATTCATGCTCCCTTCATCATTCATGCTCCCTTCATCATCCATGCTCCCTTCATCATTCATGCTCCCTTCATCATTCATGCTCCCTTCATCATTCATGCTCCCTTCATCATTCATGCTCCCTTCATCATTCATGCTCCCTTCATCATTCATGCTCCCTTCATCATTCATGCTCCCTTCATCATTCATGCTCCCTTCATCATTCATGCTCCCTTCATCATTCATGCTCCCTTCATCATCCATGCTCCCTTCATCATCCATGCTCCCTTCATCATTCATGCTCCCTTCATCATTCATGCTCCCTTCATCATTCATGCTCCCTTCATCATTCATGCTCCCTTCATCATTCATGCTCCCTTCATCATTCATGCTCCCTTCATCATTCATGCTCCCTTCATCATCCATGCTCCCTTCATCATCCATGCTCCCTTCATCATCCATGCTCCCTTCATCATTCATGCTCCCTTCATCATTCATGCTCCCTTCATCATTCATGCTCCCTTCATCATTCATGCTCCCTTCATCATTCATGCTCCCTTCATCATTCATGCTCCCTTCATCATTCATGCTCCCTTCATCATCCATGCTCCCTTCATCATTCATGCTCCCTTCATCATTCATGCTCCCTTCATCATTCATGCTCCCTTCATCATTCATGCTCCCTTCATCATCCATGCTCCCTTCATCATCCATGCTCCCTTCATCATTCATGCTCCCTTCATCATTCATGCTCCCTTCATCATTCATGCTCCCTTCATCATCCATGCTCCCTTCATCATTCATGCTCCCTTCATCATTCATGCTCCCTTCATCATTCATGCTCCCTTCATCATCCATGCTCCCTTCATCATCCATGCTCCCTTCATCATCCATGCTCCCTTCATCATTCATGCTCCCTTCATCATCCATGCTCCCTTCATCATTCATGCTCCCTTCATCATTCATGCTCCCTTCATCATTCATGCTCCCTTCATCATTCATGCTCCCTTCATCATTCATGCTCCCTTCATCATTCATGCTCCCTTCATCATTCATGCTCCCTTCATCATCCATGCTCCCTTCATCATCCATGCTCCCTTCATCATTCATGCTCCCTTCATCATTCATGCTCCCTTCATCATCCATGCTCCCTTCATCATCCATGCTCCCTTCATCATTCATGCTCCCTTCATCATTCATGCTCCCTTCATCATTCATGCTCCCTTCATCATTCATGCTCCCTTCATCATTCATGCTCCCTTCATCATTCATGCTCCCTTCATCATTCATGCTCCCTTCATCATTCATGCTCCCTTCATCATTCATGCTCCCTTCATCATTCATGCTCCCTTCATCATTCATGCTCCCTTCATCATCCATGCTCCCTTCATCATTCATGCTCCCTTCATCATCCATGCTCCCTTCATCATTCATGCTCCCTTCATCATTCATGCTCCCTTCATCATTCATGCTCCCTTCATCATTCATGCTCCCTTCATCATTCATGCTCCCTTCATCATCCATGCTCCCTTCATCATTCATGCTCCCTTCATCATCCATGCTCCCTTCATCATCCATGCTCCCTTCATCATTCATGCTCCCTTCATCATTCATGCTCCCTTCATCATTCATGCTCCCTTCATCATTCATGCTCCCTTCATCATTCATGCTCCCTTCATCATTCATGCTCCCTTCATCATTCATGCTCCCTTCATCATCCATGCTCCCTTCATCATTCATGCTCCCTTCATCATTCATGCTCCCTTCATCATTCATGCTCCCTTCATCATTCATGCTCCCTTCATCATCCATGCTCCCTTCATCATCCATGCTCCCTTCATCATTCATGCTCCCTTCATCATTCATGCTCCCTTCATCATCCATGCTCCCTTCATCATTCATGCTCCCTTCATCATTCATGCTCCCTTCATCATTCATGCTCCCTTCATCATCCATGCTCCCTTCATCATCCATGCTCCCTTCATCATCCATGCTCCCTTCATCATTCATGCTCCCTTCATCATTCATGCTCCCTTCATCATTCATGCTCCCTTCATCATCCATGCTCCCTTCATCATTCATGCTCCCTTCATCATTCATGCTCCCTTCATCATTCATGCTCCCTTCATCATTCATGCTCCCTTCATCATCCATGCTCCCTTCATCATCCATGCTCCCTTCATCATCCATGCTCCCTTCATCATCCATGCTCCCTTCATCATTCATGCTCCCTTCATCATTCATGCTCCCTTCATCATTCATGCTCCCTTCATCATTCATGCTCCCTTCATCATTCATGCTCCCTTCATCATTCATGCTCCCTTCATCATCCATGCTCCCTTCATCATCCATGCTCCCTTCATCATTCATGCTCCCTTCATCATTCATGCTCCCTTCATCATTCATGCTCCCTTCATCATTCATGCTCCCTTCATCATTCATGCTCCCTTCATCATCCATGCTCCCTTCATCATTCATGCTCCCTTCATCATCCATGCTCCCTTCATCATCCATGCTCCCTTCATCATTCATGCTCCCTTCATCATTCATGCTCCCTTCATCATTCATGCTCCCTTCATCATTCATGCTCCCTTCATCATTCATGCTCCCTTCATCATTCATGCTCCCTTCATCATTCATGCTCCCTTCATCATCCATGCTCCCTTCATCATTCATGCTCCCTTCATCATTCATGCTCCCTTCATCATCCATGCTCCCTTCATCATCCATGCTCCCTTCATCATCCATGCTCCCTTCATCATTCATGCTCCCTTCATCATCCATGCTCCCTTCATCATCCATGCTCCCTTCATCATTCATGCTCCCTTCATCATTCATGCTCCCTTCATCATTCATGCTCCCTTCATCATCCATGCTCCCTTCATCATCCATGCTCCCTTCATCATCCATGCTCCCTTCATCATTCATGCTCCCTTCATCATCCATGCTCCCTTCATCATCCATGCTCCCTTCATCATTCATGCTCCCTTCATCATTCATGCTCCCTTCATCATTCATGCTCCCTTCATCATTCATGCTCCCTTCATCATTCATGCTCCCTTCATCATTCATGCTCCCTTCATCATTCATGCTCCCTTCATCATTCATGCTCCCTTCATCATTCATGCTCCCTTCATCATCCATGCTCCCTTCATCATTCATGCTCCCTTCATCATTCATGCTCCCTTCATCATTCATGCTCCCTTCATCATTCATGCTCCCTTCATCATCCATGCTCCCTTCATCATCCATGCTCCCTTCATCATTCATGCTCCCTTCATCATCATGCTTCCTTCATCATCCATGCTCCCTCATCATTCATGCTCCCTTCATCATTCATGCTCCCTTCATCATTCATGCTCCCTTCATCATTCATGCTCCCTTCATCATTCATGCTCCCTTCATCATTCATGCTCCCTTCATCATTCATGCTCCCTTCATCATCCATGCTCCCTTCATCATTCATGCTCCCTTCATCATTCATGCTCCCTTCATCATTCATGCTCCCTTCATCATCCATGCTCCCTTCATCATTCATGCTCCCTTCATCATCCATGCTCCCTTCATCATCCATGCTCCCTTCATCATCCATGCTCCCTTCATCATTCATGCTCCCTTCATCATTCATGCTCCCTTCATCATCCATGCTCCCTTCATCATCCATGCTCCCTTCATCATCCATGCTCCCTTCATCATCCATGCTCCCTTCATCATTCATGCTCCCTTCATCATCCATGCTCCCTTCATCATCCATGCTCCCTTCATCATTCATGCTCCCTTCATCATTCATGCTCCCTTCATCATTCATGCTCCCTTCATCATTCATGCTCCCTTCATCATTCATGCTCCCTTCATCATCCATGCTCCCTTCATCATCCATGCTCCCTTCATCATTCATGCTCCCTTCATCATTCATGCTCCCTTCATCATCCATGCTCCCTTCATCATCCATGCTCCCTTCATCATCCATGCTCCCTTCATCATTCATGCTCCCTTCATCATTCATGCTCCCTTCATCATCCATGCTCCCTTCATCATCCATGCTCCCTTCATCATTCATGCTCCCTTCATCATTCATGCTCCCTTCATCATTCATGCTCCCTTCATCATTCATGCTCCCTTCATCATTCATGCTCCCTTCATCATTCATGCTCCCTTCATCATTCATGCTCCCTTCATCATCCATGCTCCCTTCATCATCCATGCTCCCTTCATCATCCATGCTCCCTTCATCATTCATGCTCCCTTCATCATTCATGCTCCCTTCATCATTCATGCTCCCTTCATCATTCATGCTCCCTTCATCATTCATGCTCCCTTCATCATTCATGCTCCCTTCATCATCCATGCTCCCTTCATCATCCATGCTCCCTTCATCATTCATGCTCCCTTCATCATTCATGCTCCCTTCATCATTCATGCTCCCTTCATCATTCATGCTCCCTTCATCATCCATGCTCCCTTCATCATCCATGCTCCCTTCATCATTCATGCTCCCTTCATCATTCATGCTCCCTTCATCATTCATGCTCCCTTCATCATCCATGCTCCCTTCATCATTCATGCTCCCTTCATCATTCATGCTCCCTTCATCATTCATGCTCCCTTCATCATCCATGCTCCCTTCATCATCCATGCTCCCTTCATCATCCATGCTCCCTTCATCATTCATGCTCCCTTCATCATTCATGCTCCCTTCATCATCCATGCTCCCTTCATCATTCATGCTCCCTTCATCATTCATGCTCCCTTCATCATTCATGCTCCCTTCATCATTCATGCTCCCTTCATCATTCATGCTCCCTTCATCATTCATGCTCCCTTCATCATCCATGCTCCCTTCATCATCCATGCTCCCTTCATCATTCATGCTCCCTTCATCATTCATGCTCCCTTCATCATCCATGCTCCCTTCATCATCCATGCTCCCTTCATCATCCATGCTCCCTTCATCATCCATGCTCCCTTCATCATTCATGCTCCCTTCATCATTCATGCTCCCTTCATCATCCATGCTCCCTTCATCATTCATGCTCCCTTCATCATTCATGCTCCCTTCATCATTCATGCTCCCTTCATCATTCATGCTCCCTTCATCATTCATGCTCCCTTCATCATTCATGCTCCCTTCATCATCCATGCTCCCTTCATCATTCATGCTCCCTTCATCATCCATGCTCCCTTCATCATCCATGCTCCCTTCATCATTCATGCTCCCTTCATCATTCATGCTCCCTTCATCATTCATGCTCCCTTCATCATTCATGCTCCCTTCATCATTCATGCTCCCTTCATCATCCATGCTCCCTTCATCATCCATGCTCCCTTCATCATCCATGCTCCCTTCATCATTCATGCTCCCTTCATCATTCATGCTCCCTTCATCATTCATGCTCCCTTCATCATTCATGCTCCCTTCATCATTCATGCTCCCTTCATCATTCATGCTCCCTTCATCATTCATGCTCCCTTCATCATCCATGCTCCCTTCATCATTCATGCTCCCTTCATCATTCATGCTCCCTTCATCATTCATGCTCCCTTCATCATCCATGCTCCCTTCATCATCCATGCTCCCTTCATCATCCATGCTCCCTTCATCATTCATGCTCCCTTCATCATTCATGCTCCCTTCATCATCCATGCTCCCTTCATCATTCATGCTCCCTTCATCATTCATGCTCCCTTCATCATTCATGCTCCCTTCATCATCCATGCTCCCTTCATCATCCATGCTCCCTTCATCATCCATGCTCCCTTCATCATTCATGCTCCCTTCATCATCCATGCTCCCTTCATCATTCATGCTCCCTTCATCATCCATGCTCCCTTCATCATTCATGCTCCCTTCATCATTCATGCTCCCTTCATCATTCATGCTCCCTTCATCATTCATGCTCCCTTCATCATTCATGCTCCCTTCATCATCCATGCTCCCTTCATCATCCATGCTCCCTTCATCATCCATGCTCCCTTCATCATCCATGCTCCCTTCATCATTCATGCTCCCTTCATCATTCATGCTCCCTTCATCATTCATGCTCCCTTCATCATTCATGCTCCCTTCATCATTCATGCTCCCTTCATCATTCATGCTCCCTTCATCATTCATGCTCCCTTCATCATCCATGCTCCCTTCATCATTCATGCTCCCTTCATCATTCATGCTCCCTTCATCATTCATGCTCCCTTCATCATTCATGCTCCCTTCATCATCCATGCTCCCTTCATCATTCATGCTCCCTTCATCATCCATGCTCCCTTCATCATCCATGCTCCCTTCATCATTCATGCTCCCTTCATCATTCATGCTCCCTTCATCATTCATGCTCCCTTCATCATTCATGCTCCCTTCATCATTCATGCTCCCTTCATCATTCATGCTCCCTTCATCATTCATGCTCCCTTCATCATCCATGCTCCCTTCATCATTCATGCTCCCTTCATCATTCATGCTCCCTTCATCATTCATGCTCCCTTCATCATTCATGCTCCCTTCATCATCCATGCTCCCTTCATCATCCATGCTCCCTTCATCATTCATGCTCCCTTCATCATTCATGCTCCCTTCATCATCCATGCTCCCTTCATCATTCATGCTCCCTTCATCATTCATGCTCCCTTCATCATTCATGCTCCCTTCATCATCCATGCTCCCTTCATCATCCATGCTCCCTTCATCATCCATGCTCCCTTCATCATTCATGCTCCCTTCATCATTCATGCTCCCTTCATCATCCATGCTCCCTTCATCATTCATGCTCCCTTCATCATTCATGCTCCCTTCATCATTCATGCTCCCTTCATCATTCATGCTCCCTTCATCATTCATGCTCCCTTCATCATTCATGCTCCCTTCATCATTCATGCTCCCTTCATCATTCATGCTCCCTTCATCATTCATGCTCCCTTCATCATCCATGCTCCCTTCATCATTCATGCTCCCTTCATCATTCATGCTCCCTTCATCATTCATGCTCCCTTCATCATTCATGCTCCCTTCATCATCCATGCTCCCTTCATCATCCATGCTCCCTTCATCATTCATGCTCCCTTCATCATTCATGCTCCCTTCATCATCCATGCTCCCTTCATCATTCATGCTCCCTTCATCATTCATGCTCCCTTCATCATTCATGCTCCCTTCATCATCCATGCTCCCTTCATCATCCATGCTCCCTTCATCATCCATGCTCCCTTCATCATTCATGCTCCCTTCATCATTCATGCTCCCTTCATCATCCATGCTCCCTTCATCATTCATGCTCCCTTCATCATTCATGCTCCCTTCATCATTCATGCTCCCTTCATCATTCATGCTCCCTTCATCATCATGCCCTTCATCATTCATGCTCCCTTCATCATCCATGCTCCCTTCATCATCCATGCTCCCTTCATCATTCATGCTCCCTTCATCATTCATGCTCCCTTCATCATTCATGCTCCCTTCATCATTCATGCTCCCTTCATCATCCATGCTCCCTTCATCATTCATGCTCCCTTCATCATCCATGCTCCCTTCATCATCCATGCTCCCTTCATCATTCATGCTCCCTTCATCATTCATGCTCCCTTCATCATTCATGCTCCCTTCATCATTCATGCTCCCTTCATCATTCATGCTCCCTTCATCATTCATGCTCCCTTCATCATTCATGCTCCCTTCATCATTCATGCTCCCTTCATCATTCATGCTCCCTTCATCATTCATGCTCCCTTCATCATCCATGCTCCCTTCATCATCCATGCTCCCTTCATCATCCATGCTCCCTTCATCATCCATGCTCCCTTCATCATTCATGCTCCCTTCATCATTCATGCTCCCTTCATCATTCATGCTCCCTTCATCATTCATGCTCCCTTCATCATTCATGCTCCCTTCATCATTCATGCTCCCTTCATCATTCATGCTCCCTTCATCATTCATGCTCCCTTCATCATTCATGCTCCCTTCATCATCCATGCTCCCTTCATCATCCATGCTCCCTTCATCATCCATGCTCCCTTCATCATCCATGCTCCCTTCATCATCCATGCTCCCTTCATCATCATTCTGCTCCTTCATCACATGCTCCCTTCATCATCCATGCTCCCTTCATCATTCATGCTCCCTTCATCATTCATGCTCCCTTCATCATTCATGCTCCCTTCATCATTCATGCTCCCTTCATCATTCATGCTCCCTTCATCATTCATGCTCCCTTCATCATTCATGCTCCCTTCATCATTCATGCTCCCTTCATCATTCATGCTCCCTTCATCATCCATGCTCCCTTCATCATCCATGCTCCCTTCATCATTCATGCTCCCTTCATCATCCATGCTCCCTTCATCATCCATGCTCCCTTCATCATCCATGCTCCCTTCATCATTCATGCTCCCTTCATCATTCATGCTCCCTTCATCATTCATGCTCCCTTCATCATTCATGCTCCCTTCATCATTCATGCTCCCTTCATCATCCATGCTCCCTTCATCATCCATGCTCCCTTCATCATCCATGCTCCCTTCATCATCCATGCTCCCTTCATCATCCATGCTCCCTTCATCATTCATGCTCCCTTCATCATTCATGCTCCCTTCATCATCCATGCTCCCTTCATCATCCATGCTCCCTTCATCATCCATGCTCCCTTCATCATCCATGCTCCCTTCATCATTCATGCTCCCTTCATCATTCATGCTCCCTTCATCATCCATGCTCCCTTCATCATTCATGCTCCCTTCATCATCCATGCTCCCTTCATCATTCATGCTCCCTTCATCATTCATGCTCCCTTCATCATCCATGCTCCCTTCATCATTCATGCTCCCTTCATCATTCATGCTCCCTTCATCATTCATGCTCCCTTCATCATCCATGCTCCCTTCATCATTCATGCTCCCTTCATCATTCATGCTCCCTTCATCATTCATGCTCCCTTCATCATTCATGCTCCCTTCATCATTCATGCTCCCTTCATCATTCATGCTCCCTTCATCATTCATGCTCCCTTCATCATCCATGCTCCCTTCATCATCCATGCTCCCTTCATCATCCATGCTCCCTTCATCATTCATGCTCCCTTCATCATTCATGCTCCCTTCATCATTCATGCTCCCTTCATCATTCATGCTCCCTTCATCATTCATGCTCCCTTCATCATTCATGCTCCCTTCATCATCCATGCTCCCTTCATCATTCATGCTCCCTTCATCATCCATGCTCCCTTCATCATCCATGCTCCCTTCATCATCCATGCTCCCTTCATCATTCATGCTCCCTTCATCATTCATGCTCCCTTCATCATTCATGCTCCCTTCATCATTCATGCTCCCTTCATCATCCATGCTCCCTTCATCATCCATGCTCCCTTCATCATTCATGCTCCCTTCATCATTCATGCTCCCTTCATCATTCATGCTCCCTTCATCATTCATGCTCCCTTCATCATTCATGCTCCCTTCATCATTCATGCTCCCTTCATCATTCATGCTCCCTTCATCATTCATGCTCCCTTCATCATTCATGCTCCCTTCATCATCCATGCTCCCTTCATCATCCATGCTCCCTTCATCATTCATGCTCCCTTCATCATCCATGCTCCCTTCATCATCCATGCTCCCTTCATCATTCATGCTCCCTTCATCATCCATGCTCCCTTCATCATCCATGCTCCCTTCATCATTCATGCTCCCTTCATCATTCATGCTCCCTTCATCATTCATGCTCCCTTCATCATTCATGCTCCCTTCATCATTCATGCTCCCTTCATCATTCATGCTCCCTTCATCATTCATGCTCCCTTCATCATCCATGCTCCCTTCATCATTCATGCTCCCTTCATCATTCATGCTCCCTTCATCATTCATGCTCCCTTCATCATCCATGCTCCCTTCATCATTCATGCTCCCTTCATCATCCATGCTCCCTTCATCATCCATGCTCCCTTCATCATCCATGCTCCCTTCATCATTCATGCTCCCTTCATCATTCATGCTCCCTTCATCATCCATGCTCCCTTCATCATCCATGCTCCCTTCATCATCCATGCTCCCTTCATCATCCATGCTCCCTTCATCATTCATGCTCCCTTCATCATCCATGCTCCCTTCATCATCCATGCTCCCTTCATCATTCATGCTCCCTTCATCATTCATGCTCCCTTCATCATTCATGCTCCCTTCATCATTCATGCTCCCTTCATCATTCATGCTCCCTTCATCATTCATGCTCCCTTCATCATTCATGCTCCCTTCATCATTCATGCTCCCTTCATCATTCATGCTCCCTTCATCATTCATGCTCCCTTCATCATCCATGCTCCCTTCATCATCCATGCTCCCTTCATCATCCATGCTCCCTTCATCATTCATGCTCCCTTCATCATCCATGCTCCCTTCATCATCCATGCTCCCTTCATCATTCATGCTCCCTTCATCATTCATGCTCCCTTCATCATTCATGCTCCCTTCATCATTCATGCTCCCTTCATCATTCATGCTCCCTTCATCATCCATGCTCCCTTCATCATCCATGCTCCCTTCATCATCCATGCTCCCTTCATCATTCATGCTCCCTTCATCATTCATGCTCCCTTCATCATCCATGCTCCCTTCATCATCCATGCTCCCTTCATCATTCATGCTCCCTTCATCATTCATGCTCCCTTCATCATTCATGCTCCCTTCATCATTCATGCTCCCTTCATCATTCATGCTCCCTTCATCATTCATGCTCCCTTCATCATTCATGCTCCCTTCATCATCCATGCTCCCTTCATCATTCATGCTCCCTTCATCATTCATGCTCCCTTCATCATTCATGCTCCCTTCATCATCCATGCTCCCTTCATCATCCATGCTCCCTTCATCATCCATGCTCCCTTCATCATCCATGCTCCCTTCATCATCCATGCTCCCTTCATCATTCATGCTCCCTTCATCATTCATGCTCCCTTCATCATCCATGCTCCCTTCATCATCCATGCTCCCTTCATCATTCATGCTCCCTTCATCATCCATGCTCCCTTCATCATCCATGCTCCCTTCATCATTCATGCTCCCTTCATCATTCATGCTCCCTTCATCATCCATGCTCCCTTCATCATCCATGCTCCCTTCATCATTCATGCTCCCTTCATCATTCATGCTCCCTTCATCATCCATGCTCCCTTCATCATTCATGCTCCCTTCATCATTCATGCTCCCTTCATCATTCATGCTCCCTTCATCATTCATGCTCCCTTCATCATCCATGCTCCCTTCATCATCCATGCTCCCTTCATCATTCATGCTCCCTTCATCATTCATGCTCCCTTCATCATCCATGCTCCCTTCATCATCCATGCTCCCTTCATCATCCATGCTCCCTTCATCATTCATGCTCCCTTCATCATCCATGCTCCCTTCATCATCCATGCTCCCTTCATCATTCATGCTCCCTTCATCATTCATGCTCCCTTCATCATCCATGCTCCCTTCATCATCCATGCTCCCTTCATCATTCATGCTCCCTTCATCATTCATGCTCCCTTCATCATCCATGCTCCCTTCATCATCCATGCTCCCTTCATCATCCATGCTCCCTTCATCATTCATGCTCCCTTCATCATCCATGCTCCCTTCATCATCCATGCTCCCTTCATCATCCATGCTCCCTTCATCATCCATGCTCCCTTCATCATCCATGCTCCCTTCATCATTCATGCTCCCTTCATCATTCATGCTCCCTTCATCATTCATGCTCCCTTCATCATCCATGCTCCCTTCATCATTCATGCTCCCTTCATCATCCATGCTCCCTTCATCATTCATGCTCCCTTCATCATCCATGCTCCCTTCATCATCCATGCTCCCTTCATCATTCATGCTCCCTTCATCATCCATGCTCCCTTCATCATTCATGCTCCCTTCATCATTCATGCTCCCTTCATCATCCATGCTCCCTTCATCATTCATGCTCCCTTCATCATTCATGCTCCCTTCATCATCCATGCTCCCTTCATCATCCATGCTCCCTTCATCATCCATGCTCCCTTCATCATTCATGCTCCCTTCATCATTCATGCTCCCTTCATCATTCATGCTCCCTTCATCATCCATGCTCCCTTCATCATTCATGCTCCCTTCATCATCCATGCTCCCTTCATCATCCATGCTCCCTTCATCATCCATGCTCCCTTCATCATTCATGCTCCCTTCATCATTCATGCTCCCTTCATCATTCATGCTCCCTTCATCATTCATGCTCCCTTCATCATCCATGCTCCCTTCATCATCCATGCTCCCTTCATCATTCATGCTCCCTTCATCATTCATGCTCCCTTCATCATCCATGCTCCCTTCATCATCCATGCTCCCTTCATCATCCATGCTCCCTTCATCATTCATGCTCCCTTCATCATTCATGCTCCCTTCATCATCCATGCTCCCTTCATCATTCATGCTCCCTTCATCATTCATGCTCCCTTCATCATTCATGCTCCCTTCATCATTCATGCTCCCTTCATCATCCATGCTCCCTTCATCATCCATGCTCCCTTCATCATTCATGCTCCCTTCATCATTCATGCTCCCTTCATCATCCATGCTCCCTTCATCATCCATGCTCCCTTCATCATCCATGCTCCCTTCATCATTCATGCTCCCTTCATCATCCATGCTCCCTTCATCATCCATGCTCCCTTCATCATTCATGCTCCCTTCATCATTCATGCTCCCTTCATCATCCATGCTCCCTTCATCATCCATGCTCCCTTCATCATTCATGCTCCCTTCATCATTCATGCTCCCTTCATCATCCATGCTCCCTTCATCATCCATGCTCCCTTCATCATCCATGCTCCCTTCATCATTCATGCTCCCTTCATCATTCATGCTCCCTTCATCATTCATGCTCCCTTCATCATTCATGCTCCCTTCATCATCCATGCTCCCTTCATCATCCATGCTCCCTTCATCATTCATGCTCCCTTCATCATTCATGCTCCCTTCATCATCCATGCTCCCTTCATCATTCATGCTCCCTTCATCATTCATGCTCCCTTCATCATCCATGCTCCCTTCATCATTCATGCTCCCTTCATCATTCATGCTCCCTTCATCATCCATGCTCCCTTCATCATTCATGCTCCCTTCATCATTCATGCTCCCTTCATCATTCGTCTCCCCTTCATCATTCATGCTCCCCTTCATCATCCATGCTCCCCTCATTCCATGCTCCCCTTCATCATTCATGCTCCCTTCATCATTCATGCTCCCTTCATCATCCATGCTCCCTTCATCATCCATGCTCCCTTCATCATTCATGCTCCCTTCATCATTCATGCTCCCTTCATCATTCATGCTCCCTTCATCATTCATGCTCCCTTCATCATCCATGCTCCCTTCATCATCCATGCTCCCTTCATCATTCATGCTCCCTTCATCATTCATGCTCCCTTCATCATTCATGCTCCCTTCATCATTCATGCTCCCTTCATCATCCATGCTCCCTTCATCATCCATGCTCCCTTCATCATTCATGCTCCCTTCATCATTCATGCTCCCTTCATCATTCATGCTCCCTTCATCATTCATGCTCCCTTCATCATTCATGCTCCCTTCATCATTCATGCTCCCTTCATCATTCATGCTCCCTTCATCATCCATGCTCCCTTCATCATCCATGCTCCCTTCATCATTCATGCTCCCTTCATCATTCATGCTCCCTTCATCATCCATGCTCCCTTCATCATTCATGCTCCCTTCATCATTCATGCTCCCTTCATCATCCATGCTCCCTTCATCATTCATGCTCCCTTCATCATTCATGCCCTTTCATCATTCATGCTCCTTCATCATTCATGCTCCCTTCATCATTCATGCTCCCTTCATCATTCATGCTCCCTTCATCATTCATGCTCCCTTCATCATCCATGCTCCCTTCATCATTCATGCTCCCTTCATCATTCATGCTCCCTTCATCATTCATGCTCCCTTCATCATCCATGCTCCCTTCATCATTCATGCTCCCTTCATCATCCATGCTCCCTTCATCATCCATGCTCCCTTCATCATCCATGCTCCCTTCATCATCCATGCTCCCTTCATCATTCATGCTCCCTTCATCATTCATGCTCCCTTCATCATCCATGCTCCCTTCATCATTCATGCTCCCTTCATCATTCATGCTCCCTTCATCATCCATGCTCCCTTCATCATCCATGCTCCCTTCATCATTCATGCTCCCTTCATCATTCATGCTCCCTTCATCATCCATGCTCCCTTCATCATCCATGCTCCCTTCATCATTCATGCTCCCTTCATCATTCATGCTCCCTTCATCATCCATGCTCCCTTCATCATTCATGCTCCCTTCATCATTCATGCTCCCTTCATCATTCATGCTCCCTTCATCATTCATGCTCCCTTCATCATCCATGCTCCCTTCATCATCCATGCTCCCTTCATCATTCATGCTCCCTTCATCATTCATGCTCCCTTCATCATCCATGCTCCCTTCATCATCCATGCTCCCTTCATCATCAGCTCCCTTCATCATTCATGCTCCCTTCATCATCCATGCTCCCTTCATCATCCATGCTCCCTTCATCATTCATGCTCCCTTCATCATTCATGCTCCCTTCATCATCCATGCTCCCTTCATCATCCATGCTCCCTTCATCATTCATGCTCCCTTCATCATTCATGCTCCCTTCATCATCCATGCTCCCTTCATCATCCATGCTCCCTTCATCATCCATGCTCCCTTCATCATTCATGCTCCCTTCATCATCCATGCTCCCTTCATCATCCATGCTCCCTTCATCATCCATGCTCCCTTCATCATCCATGCTCCCTTCATCATCAATGCTCACTTCATCATTCATGCTCCCTTCATCATTCATGCTCCCTTCATCATTCATGCTCCCTTCATCATCCATGCTCCCTTCATCATCCATGCTCCCTTCATCATTCATGCTCCCTTCATCATCCATGCTCCCTTCATCATTCATGCTCCCTTCATCATCCATGCTCCCTTCATCATCCATGCTCCCTTCATCATTCATGCTCCCTTCATCATCCATGCTCCCTTCATCATTCATGCTCCCTTCATCATTCATGCTCCCTTCATCATCCATGCTCCCTTCATCATTCATGCTCCCTTCATCATTCATGCTCCCTTCATCATCCATGCCTCCCTCATCATCCATGCTCCCTTCATCATCCATGCTCCCTTCATCATTCATGCTCCCTTCATCATTCATGCTCCCTTCATCATTCATGCTCCCTTCATCATCCATGCTCCCTTCATCATTCATGCTCCCTTCATCATCCATGCTCCCTTCATCATCCATGCTCCCTTCATCATCCATGCTCCCTTCATCATCCATGCTCCCTTCATCATCCATGCTCCCTTCATCATTCATGCTCCCTTCATCATTCATGCTCCCTTCATCATCCATGCTCCCTTCATCATCCATGCTCCCTTCATCATTCATGCTCCCTTCATCATTCATGCTCCCTTCATCATCCATGCTCCCTTCATCATCCATGCTCCCTTCATCATCCATGCTCCCTTCATCATTCATGCGCTCCCCTTCATCATTCATGCCCTTCATCATCCATGCTCCCCTTCATCATTCATGCTCCCTTCATCATTCATGCTCCCTTCATCATTCATGCTCCCTTCATCATTCATGCTCCCTTCATCATCCATGCTCCCTTCATCATCCATGCTCCCTTCATCATTCATGCTCCCTTCATCATCCTGCCCTTCATCATCCATGCTCCCTTCATCATCCATGCTCCCTTCATCATCCATGCTCCCTTCATCATCCATGCTCCCTTCATCATCCATGCTCCCTTCATCATTCATGCTCCCTTCATCATTCATGCTCCCTTCAATATCATGCCTCCTCCACCTCATCCACATGCTCCCTTCATCATCCATGCTCCCTTCATCATCCATGCTCCCTTCATCATCCATGCTCCCTTCATCATCCATGCTCCCTTCATCATCCATGCTCCCTTCATCATCCATGCTCCCTTCATCATTCATGCTCCCTTCATCATTCATGCTCCCTTCATCATTCATGCTCCCTTCATCATCCATGCTCCCTTCATCATCCATGCTCCCTTCATCATCCATGCTCCCTTCATCATTCATGCTCCCTTCATCATCCATGCTCCCTTCATCATCCATGCTCCCTTCATCATTCATGCTCCCTTCATCATCCATGCTCCCTTCATCATCCATGCTCCCTTCATCATTCATGCTCCCTTCATCATTCATGCTCCCTTCATCATCACTGCTCCCTTCATCATCCATGCTCCCTTCATCATCCATGCTCCCTTCATCATCCATGCTCCCTTCATCATTCATGCTCCCTTCATCATTCATGCTCCCCTTCATCCCATGCTCCTTCATCATCCATGATCCCTTCATCATCCATGCTCCCTTCATCATTCATGCTCCCTTCATCATTCATGCTCCCTTCATCATCCATGCTCCCTTCATCATCCATGCTCCCTTCATCATCCATGCTCCCTTCATCATCCATGCTCCCTTCATCATCCATGCTCCCTTCATCATCCATGCTCCCTTCATCATTCATGCTCCCTTCATCATTCATGCTCCCTTCATCATTCATGCTCCCTTCATCATTCATGCTCCCTTCATCATCCATGCTCCCTTCATCATCCATGCTCCCTTCATCATTCATGCTCCCTTCATCATCCATGCTCCCCTTCACATCCATGCTCCCTTCATCATTCCATGCTCCCTTCATCATATCCATGCTCTTATCATTCATGCTCCCCTTCATCATTCATGCTCCCTTCATCATCCATGCTCCCTTCATCATTCATGCTCCCTTCATCATTCATGCTCCCTTCATCATTCATGCTCCCTTCATCATTCATGCTCCCTTCATCATCCATGCTCCCTTCATCATCCATGCTCCCTTCATCATTCATGCTCCCTTCATCATCCATGCTCCCTTCATCATCCATGCTCCCTTCATCATCCATGCTCCCTTCATCATTCATGCTCCCTTCATCATCCATGCTCCCTTCATCATCCATGCTCCCTTCATCATTCATGCTCCCTTCATCATTCATGCTCCCTTCATCATCCATGCTCCCTTCATCATCCATGCTCCCTTCATCATTCATGCTCCCTTCATCATTCATGCTCCCTTCATCATCCATGCTCCCTTCATCATCCATGCTCCCTTCATCATCCATGCTCCCTTCATCATTCATGCTCCCTTCATCATTCATGCTCCCTTCATCATTCATGCTCCCTTCATCATTCATGCTCCCTTCATCATCCATGCTCCCTTCATCATCCATGCTCCCTTCATCATTCATGCTCCCTTCATCATTCATGCTCCCTTCATCATCCATGCTCCCTTCATCATTCATGCTCCCTTCATCATTCATGCTCCCTTCATCATCCATGCTCCCTTCATCATTCATGCTCCCTTCATCATTCATGCTCCCTTCATCCTCATGCTCCCTTCATCATTCATGCTCCCTTCATCATTCATGCTCCCTTCATCATTCATGCTCCCTTCATCATTCATGCTCCCTTCATCATCCATGCTCCCTTCATCATCCATGCTCCCTTCATCATTCATGCTCCCTTCATCATTCATGCTCCCTTCATCATCCATGCTCCCTTCATCATCCATGCTCCCTTCATCATTCATGCTCCCTTCATCATTCATGCTCCCTTCATCATTCATGCTCCCTTCATCATTCATGCTCCCGTTCATATCCATGCTCCCTTCATCATCCATGCTCCCTTCATCATTCATGCTCCCTTCATCATTCATGCTCCCTTCATCATTCATGCTCCCTTCATCATTCATGCTCCCTTCATCATCCATGCTCCCTTCATCATCCATGCTCCCTTCATCATTCATGCTCCCTTCATCATTCATGCTCCCTTCATCATTCATGCTCCCTTCATCATTCATGCTCCCTTCATCATTCATGCTCCCTTCATCATCCATGCTCCCTTCATCATCCATGCTCCCTTCATCATTCATGCTCCCTTCATCATCCATGCTCCCTTCATCATCCATGCTCCCTTCATCATCCATTCACCCTTCATCATTCATGCTCCCTTCATCATTCATGCTCCCTTCATCATTCATGCTCCCTTCATCATTCATGCTCCCTTCATCATTCATGCTCCCTTCATCATCCATGCTCCCTTCATCATTCATGCTCCCTTCATCATCCATGCTCCCTTCATCATCCATGCTCATTCATTTCATTCATGCGTCCTCATCATCCTGCTCCCTTCATCATTCATGCTCCCTTCATCATCCATGCTCCCTTCATCATTCATGCTGTTCCCCTTTCATCATCATGCTCCCTTCATATTCATGCGCCCCTTCATCATTCATGCTCCCCTTCATCATTCATGCTCCCTTCATCATCCATGCTCCCTTCATCATCCATGCTCCCTTCATCATCCATGCTCCCCTCCATTCATTCATTGCTCCCCTTCATCATCCATGCTCCTTCATCATTCTCTGCTCCCCTTCATCATTCATGCTCCCCTTCATCATTCATGCTCCCTTCATCATTCATGCTCCCTTCATCATTCATGCTCCCTTCATCATCCATGCTCCCTTCATCATCCATGCTCCCTTCATCATCCATGCTCCCTTCATCATTCATGCTCCCTTCATCATCCATGCTCCCTTCATCATCCATGCTCCCTTCATCATCCATGCTCCCTTCATCATCCATGCTCCCTTCATCATCATGCGCCCCTTCATCATCCATGCTCCCTTCATCATCCATGCTCCCTTCATCATCCATGCTCCCTTCATCATCCATGCTCCCTTCATCATTCATGCTCCCTTCATCATCCATGCTCCCTTCATCATTCATGCTCCCTTCCACATCCATGCTCTTCATCATTCATGCTCCCTTCATCATTCATGCTCCCTTCATCATTCATGCTCCCTTCATCATCATTCTCCCCTTTCATCATTATGCTCCCTTCATCATCCATGCTCCCTTCATCATCCATGCTCCCTTCATCATCCATGCTCCCTTCATCATCCATGCTCCCTTCATCATCCATGCTCCCTTCATCATCCATGCTCCCTTCATCATCCATGCTCCCTTCATCATTCATGCTCCCTTCATCATTCATGCTCCCTTCATCATTCATGCTCCCTTCATCATTCATGCTCCCTTCATCATCCATGCTCCCTTCATCATCCATGCTCCCTTCATCATCCATGCTCCCTTCATCATCCATGCTCCCTTCATCATCCATGCTCCCTTCATCATCCATGCTCCCTTCATCATCCATGCTCCCTTCATCATCCATGCTCCCTTCATCATCCATGCTCCCTTCATCATTCATGCTCCCTTCATCATCCATGCTCCCTTCATCATTCATGCTCCCTTCATCATTCATGCTCCCTTCATCATCCATGCTCCCTTCATCATTCATGCTCCCTTCATCATTCATGCTCCCTTCATCATTCATGCTCCCTTCATCATTCATGCTCCCTTCATCATCCATGCTCCCTTCATCATCCATGCTCCCTTCATCATTCATGCTCCCTTCATCATCCATGCTCCCTTCATCATCCATGCTCCCTTCATCATCCATGCTCCCTTCATCATTCATGCTCCCTTCATCATCCATGCTCCCTTCATCATTCATGCTCCCTTCATCATTCATGCTCCCTTCATCATCCATGCTCCCTTCATCATTCATGCTCCCTTCATCATTCATGCTCCCTTCATCATTCATGCTCCCTTCATCATTCATGCTCCCTTCATCATCCATGCTCCCTTCATCATTCATGCTCCCTTCATCATTCATGCTCCCTTCATCATTCATGCTCCCTTCATCATTCATGCTCCCTTCATCATCCATGCTCCCTTCATCATTCATGCTCCCTTCATCATTCATGCTCCCTTCATCATTCATGCTCCCTTCATCATTCATGCTCCCTTCATCATTCATGCTCCCTTCATCATCCATGCTCCCTTCATCATTCATGCTCCCTTCATCATTCATGCTCCCTTCATCATTCATGCTCCCTTCATCATTCATGCTCCCTTCATCATCCATGCTCCCTTCATCATTCATGCTCCCTTCATCATTCATGCTCCCTTCATCATCCATGCTCCCTTCATCATCCATGCTCCCTTCATCATCCATGCTCCCTTCATCATTCATGCTCCCTTCATCATTCATGCTCCCTTCATCATCCATGCTCCCTTCATCATTCATGCTCCCTTCATCATTCATGCTCCCTTCATCATTCATGCTCCCTTCATCATCCATGCTCCCTTCATCATCCATGCTCCCTTCATCATCCATGCTCCCTTCATCATCCATGCTCCCTTCATCATCCATGCTCCCTTCATCATCCATGCTCCCTTCATCATCCATGCTCCCTTCATCATCCATGCTCCCTTCATCATCCATGCTCCCTTCATCATTCATGCTCCCTTCATCATCTCCCTTCATCATTCATTCTCCCTTCATCATTCATTCTCCCTTCATCATTCATGCTCCCTTCATCATTCATGCTCCCTTCATCATCCATGCTCCCTTCATCATCCATGCTCCCTTCATCATTCATGCTCCCTTCATCATCCATGCTCCCTTCATCATCCATGCTCCCTTCATCATTCATGCTCCCTTCATCATCCATGCTCCCTTCATCATTCATGCTCCCTTCATCATTCATGCTCCCTTCATCATTCATGCTCCCTTCATCATTCATGCTCCCTTCATCATTCATGCTCCCTTCATCATTCATGCTCCCTTCATCATCCATGCTCCCTTCATCATCCATGCTCCCTTCATCATCCATGCTCCCTTCATCATTCATGCTCCCTTCATCATCCATGCTCCCTTCATCATTCATGCTCCCTTCATCATCCATGCTCCCTTCATCATCCATGCTCCCTTCATCATCCATGCTCCCTTCATCATCCATGCTCCCTTCATCATCCATGCTCCCTTCATCATTCATGCTCCCTTCATCATCCATGCTCCCTTCATCATTCATGCTCCCTTCATCATTCATGCTCCCTTCATCATCCATGCTCCCTTCATCATCCGTTCTCCCTTCATCATTCATTCTCCCTTCATCATTCATGCTCCCTTCATCATTCATGCTCCCTTCATCATTCATGCTCCCTTCATCATCCATGCTCCCTTCATCATTCATGCTCCCTTCATCATCCATGCTCCCTTCATCATCCATGCTCCCTTCATCATTCATGCTCCCTTCATCATCCATGCTCCCTTCACTCAGCATCCATGCTCCCTTCATCATTCATGCTCCCTTCATCATTCATGCTCCCTTCATCATTCATGCTCCCTTCATCATTCATGCTCCCTTCATCATTCATGCTCCCTTCATCATCCATGCTCCCTTCATCATCCATGCTCCCTTCATCATCCATGCTCCCTTCATCATCCATGCTCCCTTCATCATTCATGCTCCCTTCATCATTCATGCTCCCTTCATCATTCATGCTCCCTTCATCATCCATGCTCCCTTCATCATCCATGCTCCCTTCATCATTCATGCTCCCTTCATCATTCATGCTCCCTTCATCATCCATGCTCCCTTCATCATTCATGCTCCCTTCATCATTCATGCTCCCTTCATCATCCATGCTCCCTTCATCATCCATGCTCCCTTCATCATCCATGCTCCCTTCATCATCCATGCTCCCTTCATCATCCATGCTCCCTTCATCATTCATGCTCCCTTCATCATCCATGCTCCCTTCATCATCCATGCTCCCTTCATCATCCATGCTCCCTTCATCATCCATGCTCCCTTCATCATCCATGCTCCCTTCATCATTCATGCTCCCTTCATCATCCATGCTCCCTTCATCATCCATGCTCCCTTCATCATTCATGCTCCCTTCATCATTCATGCTCCCTTCATCATCCATGCTCCCTTCATCATCCATGCTCCCTTCATCATTCATGCTCCCTTCATCATTCATGCTCCCTTCATCATCCATGCTCCCTTCATCATCCATGCTCCCTTCATCATCCATGCTCCCTTCATCATCCATGCTCCCTTCATCATTCATGCTCCCTTCATCATTCATGCTCCCTTCATCATCCATGCTCCCTTCATCATTCATGCTCCCTTCATCATTCATGCTCAATTCATCATCCATGCTCCCTTCATCATTCATGCTCCCTTCATCATCCATGCTCCCTTCATCATCCATGCTCCCTTCATCATTCATGCTCCCTTCATCATTCATGCTCCCTTCATCATCCATGCTCCCTTCATCATCCATGCTCCCTTCATCATTCATGCTCCCTTCATCATTCATGCTCCCTTCATCATTCATGCTCCCTTCATCATTCATGCTCCCTTCATCATTCATGCTCCCTTCATCATCCATGCTCCCTTCATCATCCATGCTCCCTTCATCATCCATGCTCCCTTCATCATTCATGCTCCCTTCATCATTCATGCTCCCTTCATCATCCATGCTCCCTTCATCATTCATGCTCCCTTCATCATTCATGCTCCCTTCATCATCCATGCTCCCTTCATCATTCATGCTCCCTTCATCATTCATGCTCCCTTCATCATCCATGCTCCCTTCATCATCATTGCTCCCCTTCATCATTCATGCTCCCTTCATCATCCATGCTCCCTTCATCATTCATGCTCCCTTCATCATCCATGCTCCCTTCATCATCCATGCTCCCTTCATCATCCATGCTCCCTTCATCATTCATGCTCCCTTCATCATCCATGCTCCCTTCATCATTCATGCTCCCTTCATCATTCATGCTCCCTTCATCATCCATGCTCCCTTCATCATCCATGCTCCCTTCATCATCCATGCTCCCTTCATCATTCATGCTCCCTTCATCATCCATGCTCCCTTCATCATCCATGCTCCCTTCATCATTCATGCTCCCTTCATCATCCATGCTCCCTTCATCATCCATGCTCCCTTCATCATTCATGCTCCCTTCATCATCCATGCTCCCTTCATCATCCATGCTCCCTTCATCATTCATGCTCCCTTCATCATCCATGCTCCCTTCATCATCCATGCTCCCTTCATCATCCATGCTCCCTTCATCATTCATGCTCCCTTCATCATCCATGCTCCCTTCATCATTCATGCTCCCTTCATCATTCATGCTCCCTTCATCATCCATGCTCCCTTCATCATTCATGCTCCCTTCATCATTCATGCTCCCTTCATCATCCATGCTCCCTTCATCATCCATGCTCCCTTCATCATTCATGCTCCCTTCATCATTCATGCTCCCTTCATCATCCATGCTCCCTTCATCATCCATGCTCCCTTCATCATCCATGCTCCCTTCATCATCCATGCTCCCTTCATCATTCATGCTCCCTTCATCATTCATGCTCCCTTCATCATCCATGCTCCCTTCATCATTCATGCTCCCTTCATCATTCATGCTCAATTCATCATCCATGCTCCCTTCATCATTCATGCTCCCTTCATCATCCATGCTCCCTTCATCATCCATGCTCCCTTCATCATTCATGCTCCCTTCATCATTCATGCTCCCTTCATCATCCATGCTCCCTTCATCATCCATGCTCCCTTCATCATTCATGCTCCCTTCATCATCATGCTGCCTTCATCATTCATGCTCCCCTTCATCATTCATGCTCCCTTCATCATTCATGCTCCCTTCATCATTCATGCTCCCTTCATCATCCATGCTCCCTTCATCATCCATGCTCCCTTCATCATCCATGCTCCCTTCATCATTCATGCTCCCTTCATCATTCATGCTCCCTTCATCATCCATGCTCCCTTCATCATTCATGCTCCCTTCATCATTCATGCTCCCTTCATCATCCATGCTCCCTTCATCATTCATGCTCCCTTCATCATTCATGCTCCCTTCATCATCCATGCTCCCTTCATCATTCATGCTCCCTTCATCATTCATGCTCCCTTCATCATTCATGCTCCCTTCATCATTCATGCTCCCTTCATCATCCATGCTCCCTTCATCATTCATGCTCCCTTCATCATTCATGCTCCCTTCATCATTCATGCTCCCTTCATCATTCATGCTCCCTTCATCATCCATGCTCCCTTCATCATTCATGCTCCCTTCATCATCCATGCTCCCTTCATCATTCATGCTCCCTTCATCATTCATGCTCCCTTCATCATTCATGCTCCCTTCATCATTCATGCTCCCTTCATCATTCATGCTCCCTTCATCATCCATGCTCCCTTCATCATTCATGCTCCCTTCATCATTCATGCTCCCTTCATCATTCATGCTCCCTTCATCATTCATGCTCCCTTCATCATTCATGCTCCCTTCATCATTCATGCTCCCTTCATCATTCATGCTCCCTTCATCATTCATGCTCCCTTCATCATTCATGCTCCCTTCATCATTCATGCTCCCTTCATCATTCATGCTCCCTTCATCATTCATGCTCCCTTCATCATTCATGCTCCCTTCATCATTCATGCTCCCTTCATCATTCATGCTCCCTTCATCATTCATGCTCCCTTCATCATTCATGCTCCCTTCATCATTCATGCTCCCTTCATCATTCATGCTCCCTTCATCATTCATGCTCCCTTCATCATTCATGCTCCCTTCATCATCCATGCTCCCTTCATCATTCATGCTCCCTTCATCATTCATGCTCCCTTCATCATTCATGCTCCCTTCATCATTCATGCTCCCTTCATCATCCATGCTCCCTTCATCATTCATGCTCCCTTCATCATTCATGCTCCCTTCATCATTCATGCTCCCTTCATCATCCATGCTCCCTTCATCATTCATGCTCCCTTCATCATTCATGCTCCCTTCATCATCCATGCTCCCTTCATCATCCATGCTCCCTTCATCATCCATGCTCCCTTCATCATTCATGCTCCCTTCATCATTCATGCTCCCTTCATCATTCATGCTCCCTTCATCATCCATGCTCCCTTCATCATTCATGCTCCCTTCATCATTCATGCTCCCTTCATCATCCATGCTCCCTTCATCATCCATGCTCCCTTCATCATCCATGCTCCCTTCATCATCCATGCTCCCTTCATCATCCATGCTCCCTTCATCATTCATGCTCCCTTCATCATCCATGCTCCCTTCATCATTCATGCTCCCTTCATCATCCATGCTCCCTTCATCATCCATGCTCCCTTCATCATCCATGCTCCCTTCATCATCCATGCTCCCTTCATCATTCATGCTCCCTTCATCATTCATGCTCCCTTCATCATCCATGCTCCCTTCATCATTCATGCTCCCTTCATCATTCATGCCTCCCCTTCACATTCATCTCCCTTCATCATTCATTCTCCCTTCATCATTCATGCTCCCTTCATCATTCATGCTCCCTTCATCATTCATGCTCCCTTCATCATCCATGCTCCCTTCATCATTCATGCTCCCTTCATCATTCATGCTCCCTTCATCATCCATGCTCCCTTCATCATTCATGCTCCCTTCATCATTCATGCTCCCCTTCAGCATCCATGCTCCCTTCATCATTCATGCTCCCTTCATCATTCATGCTCCCTTCATCATCCATGCTCCCTTCATCATTCATTTTCTCCCCTTCATCATTCATGCTCCCTTCATCATCCATGCTCCCTTCATCATCCATGCTCCCTTCATCATCCATGCTCCCTTCATCATTCATGCTCCCTTCATCATCCATGCTCCCTTCATCATTCATGCTCCCTTCATCATCCATGCTCCCTTCATCATCCATGCTCCCTTCATCATCCATGCTCCCTTCATCATCCATGCTCCCTTCATCATTCATGCTCCCTTCATCATTCATGCTCCCTTCATCATCCATGCTCCCCTTCATTCATTCATGCCCCCTTCATCATTCATGCTCCCTTCATCATTCATGCTCCCTTCATCATTCATGCTCCCTTCATCATTCATGCTCCCTTCATCATTCATGCTCCCTTCATCATTCATGCTCCCTTCATCATCCATGCTCCCTTCATCATTCATGCTCCCTTCATCATTCATGCTCCCTTCATCATCCATGCTCCCTTCATCATTCATGCTCCCTTCATCATTCAGCTCCCCTTCAGCACCATGCTCCCTTCATCATTCATGCTCCCTTCATCATTCATGCTCCCTTCATCATCCATGCTCCCTTCATCATTCATGCTCCCTTCATCATTCATGTCCCCCTTCATCATCCATGCTCCCTTCATCATCCATGCTCCCTTCATCATCCATGCTCCCTTCATCATTCATGCTCCCTTCATCATCCATGCTCCCTTCATCATTCATGCTCCCTTCATCATTCATGCTCCCTTCATCATCCATGCTCCCTTCATCATCCATGCTCCCTTCATCATCCATGCTCCCTTCATCATTCATGCTCCCTTCATCATCCATGCTCCCTTCATCATCCATGCTCCCTTCATCATTCATGCTCCCTTCATCATCCATGCTCCCTTCATCATCCATGCTCCCTTCATCATTCATGCTCCCTTCATCATCCATGCTCCCTTCATCATCCATGCTCCCTTCATCATTCATGCTCCCTTCATCATCCATGCTCCCTTCATCATCCATGCTCCCTTCATCATCCATGCTCCCTTCATCATTCATGCTCCCTTCATCATCCATGCTCCCTTCATCATTCATGCTCCCTTCATCATTCATGCTCCCTTCATCATCCATGCTCCCTTCATCATTCATGCTCCCTTCATCATTCATGCTCCCTTCATCATCCATGCTCCCTTCATCATCCATGCTCCCTTCATCATTCATGCTCCCTTCATCATTCATGCTCCCTTCATCATCCATGCTCCCTTCATCATCCATGCTCCCTTCATCATCCATTCTCCTTCATCATCCATGCTCCCTTCATCATTCATGCTCCCTTCATCATTCATGCTCCCTTCATCATCCATGCTCCCTTCATCATTCATGCTCCCTTCATCATTCTGCTCAATCATCATCCATGCTCCCTTCATCATTCATGCTCCCTTCATCATCCATGCTCCCTTCATCATCCATGCTCCCTTCATCATTCATGCTCCCTTCATCATTCATGCTCCCTTCATCATCCATGCTCCCTTCATCATCCATGCTCCCTTCATCATCCATGCTCCCTTCATCATTCATGCTCCCTTCATCATTCATGCTCCCCTTATCATTCATGCTCCCTTCATCATTCATGCTCCCTTCATCATTCATGCTCCCCTTCTCATCCATGCTCCCTTCATCATCCATGCTCCCTTCATCATCCATGCTCCCTTCATCATTCATGCTCCCTTCATCATTCATGCTCCCTTCATCATCCATGCTCCCTTCATCATTCATGCTCCCTTCATCATTCATGCTCCCTTCATCATCCATGCTCCCTTCATCATCCATGCTCCCTTCATCATTCATGCTCCCTTCATCATCCATGCTCCCTTCATCATTCATGCTCCCTTCATCATTCATGCTCCCTTCATCATCCATGCTCCCTTCATCATTCATGCTCCCTTCATCATCCATGCTCCCTTCATCATCCATGCTCCCTTCATCATCCATGCTCCCTTCATCATTCATGCTCCCTTCATCATCCATGCTCCCTTCATCATCCATGCTCCCTTCATCATTCATGCTCCCTTCATCATTCATGCTCCCTTCATCATCCATGCTCCCTTCATCATTCATTGCTCCCCTTCATCATTCATGCTCCCCTTCATCATCCATGCTCCTTCATCATCCATGCTCCCTTCATCATTCATGCTCCCTTCATCATTCATGCTCCCTTCATCATCCATGCTCCCTTCATCATCCATGCTCCCTTCATCATCCATGCTCCCTTCATCATTCATGCTCCCTTCATCATTCATGCTCCCTTCATCATCCATGCTCCCTTCATCATTCATGCTCCCTTCATCATCCATGCTCCCTTCATCATCCATGCTCCCTTCATCATTCATGCTCCCTTCATCATTCATGCTCCCTTCATCATCCATGCTCCCTTCATCATCCATGCTCCCTTCATCATTCATGCTCCCTTCATCATTCATGCTCCCTTCATCATCCATGCTCCCTTCATCATCCATGCTCCCTTCATCATCCATGCTCCCTTCATCATCCATGCTCCCTTCATCATTCATGCTCCCTTCATCATTCATGCTCCCTTCATTTCATCATCTCCCCTTCATCATTCATGCTCCCTTCATCATTCATGCTCCCTTCATCATTCATGCTCCCTTCATCATTCATGCTCCCTTCATCATTCATGCTCCCTTCATCATTCATGCTCCCTTCATCATTCATGCTCCCTTCATCATCCATGCTCCCTTCATCATCCATGCTCCCTTCATCATCCATGCTCCCTTCATCATCCATGCTCCCTTCATCATTCATGCTCCCTTCATCATTCATGCTCCCTTCATCATTCATGCTCCCTTCATCATTCATGCTCCCTTCATCATTCATGCTCCCTTCATCATTCATGCTCCCTTCATCATCCATGCTCCCTTCATCATCCATGCTCCCTTCATCATCCATGCTCCCTTCATCATCCATGCTCCCTTCATCATTCATGCTCCCTTCATCATTCATGCTCCCTTCATCATCCATGCTCCCTTCATCATTCATGCTCCCTTCATCATCCATGCTCCCTTCATCATTCATGCTCCCTTCATCATTCATGCTCCCTTCATCATCCATGCTCCCTTCATCATTCATGCTCCCTTCATCATTCATGCTCCCTTCATCATCCATGCTCCCTTCATCATTCATGCTCCCTTCATCATTCATGCTCCCTTCATCATCCATGCTCCCTTCATCATTCATGCTCCCTTCATCATTCATGCTCCCTTCATCATCCATGCTCCCTTCATCATCCATGCTCCCTTCATCATCCATGCTCCCTTCATCATTCATGCTCCCTTCATCATTCATGCTCCCTTCATCATCCATGCTCCCTTCATCATCCATGCTCCCTTCATCATTCATGCTCCCTTCATCATTCATGCTCCCTTCATCATCCATGCTCCCTTCATCATTCATGCTCCCTTCATCATCCATGCTCCCTTCATCATCCATGCTCCCTTCATCATCCATGCTCCCTTCATCATTCATGCTCCCTTCATCATCCATGCTCCCTTCATCATTCATGCTCCCTTCATCATTCATGCTCCCTTCATCATTCATGCTCCCTTCATCATCCATGCTCCCTTCATCATCCATGCTCCCTTCATCATTCATGCTCCCTTCATCATTCATGCTCCCTTCATCATCCATGCTCCCTTCATCATTCATGCTCCCTTCATCATTCATGCTCCCTTCATCATCCATGCTCCCTTCATCATCCATGCTCCCTTCATCATCCATGCTCCCTTCATCATCCATGCTCCCTTCATCATTCATGCTCCCTTCATCATTCATGCTCCCTTCATCATTCATGCTCCCTTCATCATCCATGCTCCCTTCATCATTCATGCTCCCTTCATCATTCATGCTCCCTTCATCATCCATGCTCCCTTCATCATTCATGCTCCCTTCATCATCCATGCTCCCTTCATCATCCATGCTCCCTTCATCATCCATGCTCCCTTCATCATTCATGCTCCCTTCATCATCCATGCTCCCTTCATCATCCATGCTCCCTTCATCATTCATGCTCCCTTCATCATTCATGCTCCCTTCATCATTCATGCTCCCTTCATCATTCATGCTCCCTTCATCATCCATGCTCCCTTCATCATTCATGCTCCCTTCATCATTCATGCTCCCTTCATCATTCATGCTCCCTTCATCATTCATGCTCCCTTCATCATTCATGCTCCCTTCATCATTCATGCTCCCTTCATCATTCATGCTCCCTTCATCATTCATGCTCCCTTCATCATTCATGCTCCCTTCATCATTCATGCTCCCTTCATCATCCATGCTCCCTTCATCATTCATGCTCCCTTCATCATTCATGCTCCCTTCATCATTCATGCTCCCTTCATCATTCATGCTCCCTTCATCATTCATGCTCCCTTCATCATTCATGCTCCCTTCATCATCCATGCTCCCTTCATCATCCATGCTCCCTTCATCATCCATGCTCCCTTCATCATCCATGCTCCCTTCATCATCCATGCTCCCTTCATCATTCATGCTCCCTTCATCATTCATGCTCCCTTCATCATTCATGCTCCCTTCATCATTCATGCTCCCTTCATCATTCATGCTCCCTTCATCATTCATGCTCCCTTCATCATTCATGCTCCCTTCATCATTCATGCTCCCTTCATCATTCATGCTCCCTTCATCATTCATGCTCCCTTCATCATCCATGCTCCCTTCATCATCCATGCTCCCTTCATCATTCATGCTCCCTTCATCATTCATGCTCCCTTCATCATTCATGCTCCCTTCATCATTCATGCTCCCTTCATCATCCATGCTCCCTTCATCATTCATGCTCCCTTCATCATCCATGCTCCCTTCATCATTCATGCTCCCTTCATCATTCATGCTCCCTTCATCATTCATGCTCCCTTCATCATTCATGCTCCCTTCATCATTCATGCTCCCTTCATCATTCATGCTCCCTTCATCATTCATGCTCCCTTCATCATCCATGCTCCCTTCATCATCCATGCTCCCTTCATCATCCATGCTCCCTTCATCATTCATGCTCCCTTCATCATTCATGCTCCCTTCATCATTCATGCTCCCTTCATCATTCATGCTCCCTTCATCATTCATGCTCCCTTCATCATTCATGCTCCCTTCATCATTCATGCTCCCTTCATCATTCATGCTCCCTTCATCATTCATGCTCCCTTCATCATTCATGCTCCCTTCATCATTCATGCTCCCTTCATCATTCATGCTCCCTTCATCATTCATGCTCCCTTCATCATTCATGCTCCCTTCATCATTCATGCTCCCTTCATCATTCATGCTCCCTTCATCATCCATGCTCCCTTCATCATTCATGCTCCCTTCATCATCCATGCTCCCTTCATCATTCATGCTCCCTTCATCATTCATGCTCCCTTCATCATTCATGCTCCCTTCATCATTCATGCTCCCTTCATCATTCATGCTCCCTTCATCATTCATGCTCCCTTCATCATTCATGCTCCCTTCATCATTCATGCTCCCTTCATCATTCATGCTCCCTTCATCATTCATGCTCCCTTCATCATCCATGCTCCCTTCATCATTCATGCTCCCTTCATCATTCATGCTCCCTTCATCATTCATGCTCCCTTCATCATTCATGCTCCCTTCATCATTCATGCTCCCTTCATCATTCATGCTCCCTTCATCATTCATGCTCCCTTCATCATTCATGCTCCCTTCATCATTCATGCTCCCTTCATCATTCATGCTCCCTTCATCATTCATGCTCCCTTCATCATTCATGCTCCCTTCATCATTCATGCTCCCTTCATCATTCATGCTCCCTTCATCATTCATGCTCCCTTCATCATTCATGCTCCCTTCATCATTCATGCTCCCTTCATCATTCATGCTCCCTTCATCATTCATGCTCCCTTCATCATTCATGCTCCCTTCATCATTCATGCTCCCTTCATCATTCATGCTCCCTTCATCATTCATGCTCCCTTCATCATTCATGCTCCCTTCATCATTCATGCTCCCTTCATCATTCATGCTCCCTTCATCATTCATGCTCCCTTCATCATTCATGCTCCCTTCATCATTCATGCTCCCTTCATCATTCATGCTCCCTTCATCATTCATGCTCCCTTCATCATTCATGCTCCCTTCATCATTCATGCTCCCTTCATCATTCATGCTCCCTTCATCATTCATGCTCCCTTCATCATTCATGCTCCCTTCATCATTCATGCTCCCTTCATCATCCATGCTCCCTTCATCATCCATGCTCCCTTCATCATCCATGCTCCCTTCATCATTCATGCTCCCTTCATCATTCATGCTCCCTTCATCATTCATGCTCCCTTCATCATTCATGCTCCCTTCATCATTCATGCTCCCTTCATCATTCATGCTCCCTTCATCATTCATGCTCCCTTCATCATTCATGCTCCCTTCATCATTCATGCTCCCTTCATCATTCATGCTCCCTTCATCATTCATGCTCCCTTCATCATTCATGCTCCCTTCATCATTCATGCTCCCTTCATCATTCATGCTCCCTTCATCATCCATGCTCCCTTCATCATCCATGCTCCCTTCATCATTCATGCTCCCTTCATCATTCATGCTCCCTTCATCATTCATGCTCCCTTCATCATTCATGCTCCCTTCATCATCCATGCTCCCTTCATCATCCATGCTCCCTTCATCATCCATGCTCCCTTCATCATTCATGCTCCCTTCATCATTCATGCTCCCTTCATCATTCATGCTCCCTTCATCATTCATGCTCCCTTCATCATTCATGCTCCCTTCATCATTCATGCTCCCTTCATCATTCATGCTCCCTTCATCATTCATGCTCCCTTCATCATTCATGCTCCCTTCATCATTCATGCTCCCTTCATCATTCATGCTCCCTTCATCATTCATGCTCCCTTCATCATTCATGCTCCCTTCATCATTCATGCTCCCTTCATCATTCATGCTCCCTTCATCATTCATGCTCCCTTCATCATTCATGCTCCCTTCATCATTCATGCTCCCTTCATCATTCATGCTCCCTTCATCATCCATGCTCCCTTCATCATCCATGCTCCCTTCATCATCCATGCTCCCTTCATCATTCATGCTCCCTTCATCATTCATGCTCCCTTCATCATTCATGCTCCCTTCATCATTCATGCTCCCTTCATCATTCATGCTCCCTTCATCATTCATGCTCCCTTCATCATTCATGCTCCCTTCATCATTCATGCTCCCTTCATCATTCATGCTCCCTTCATCATTCATGCTCCCTTCATCATTCATGCTCCCTTCATCATTCATGCTCCCTTCATCATTCATGCTCCCTTCATCATTCATGCTCCCTTCATCATTCATGCTCCCTTCATCATCCATGCTCCCTTCATCATCCATGCTCCCTTCATCATCCATGCTCCCTTCATCATCCATGCTCCCTTCATCATTCATGCTCCCTTCATCATTCATGCTCCCTTCATCATCCATGCTCCCTTCATCATCCATGCTCCCTTCATCATCCATGCTCCCTTCATCATCCATGCTCCCTTCATCATCCATGCTCCCTTCATCATTCATGCTCCCTTCATCATTCATGCTCCCTTCATCATTCATGCTCCCTTCATCATTCATGCTCCCTTCATCATTCATGCTCCCTTCATCATTCATGCTCCCTTCATCATTCATGCTCTTGCGATGGTTTAGCAACACGGCACGGCACTCTCAGCACTTCCCGTTCATGAGCCTCTCTTCCGAGCGACTCAAAGGTTGACAGGCCTTCCCGTTCAAAAGCATCCTCATTCTCGCTCTCACCTGCCCGGATTCCCAAGGAAACTTTTGAGGCGCCTCAAAACAGGCCTTCCCGTTCAAAAGCATCCTCATTCTCGCTCTCACCTGCCCAGATTCCCAAGGAGCGATTGTATCACTTCCCAAACCTCGTATTCTTGCCCATCTGGCCATCACTTCCCAGATCCTCCCCCTACTACTTCTCTCTCACCCCATCTGGCCCCATCTCCCCCTGCTTCACTACAGCATACTGATCTGGCTGAAAGCTCTCCTTGATGGAAAGGTGCTGTGTGCCTTGACGTAGAAGTCGGCTTCATTGTAACGAGGTGAATTTTGATTCGAATCAAAACTGGCCTCGCTAAGGGCCGCCCTGGCTTCTCCTGACCTCCTCCCTCCCTCCCCTTTCCCCCGACCACCTTCCCTCCTCCCCTTGTTTCAACCAACAGACTCCCATCAGACTCCTCTCGTTTCTCTCTAACCCCATCCGGTCCCGATGACAGCATAGTGACGTGGCTACAGCTTTTCCCTCCCCCTTCCTCTGTCCCCCTCGTTTTCCCCCCATCAGACTCCTCCCGCTTCTCTCTCACCCCATCGGGCCCTGACGACAGCATAGTGACGTGGCTAAGGGCCGCCCTGGCTTCTCCTGCTGAGCTGGCAGCGGCTGGCTGGCGCCACGTGGACGCTTCTGATTGGCTGAGCGGCGGCCGCAGCTGGCGGTTGGAGCAGCGAGCAGCGGCAGCGATGGGGAGGATAGCCGGGGGAGGGGCGACTGGGGAAGAAACAGAGAGAGAGGTGAGTTGCGGTGACTGGGGAGGTGAGTACTGAGGTGATGGGCTGCTCTAAGCTCAGTATGGAAAGGTCAACTTGACTTCTGAGTGAGCAGCGCAGCTGGCGGTTGGAGCAGACAGCAGCTGCGGTGATGGGGAGGATAGCTGGGGGAGGGGCGACTGGGGAGGGGACTGAGAGAGAGGTGAGTAGAGGGGGATGGAGCCAAAGGTCGGGAATTTGAGGTGCTGTATGTGCTTTACGGGCATTATGTGTTTTACAGGTATTATGTGTTTTACGGGTATTATGTGTTTTACGGGTATTATGTGTTTTACGGGTATTATGTGCGTTGTGGGCATTATGTGTTTTATGGGATTAAAGGGCGTGGGTATACACTTCTGAGGTGATGTGTGATAAGACATGGTGCATTGATCTGAGTACACCTTTCAGTCAACTCAAGAGCTGAGTACACCTTTCAGTCAACTTTTGACGGAGCAAGTGATTTGTGATAGAAAAGTGGCTCCACTTTTGACCAACTGTAAGTGGAGCGAGGACCTCACGGCTCACTCAAAAGTCTGTGAACCGTGTGTAAGTGCGTCTGTACTTTATCCATTTTTGCCCCTCCCCTCTCCGTCAAACATCCTTCACCCAGACTTACCACTGCCTTGCCTCTGCAGCTCGCTTGCAGCTGCAAGGGAACAACAATAGAGGAAAGGCAGTGGTAAGTAATGCAGCTGAAACTGAACAATCTCTGCTGCAAGGGTACCGAACAACCATAGAAGATGTTGCATGCTCTGACACTCACGCTTCCCCTTCTCTCCCCTTCATCTCTCCCCCAATCCCCCCAACCAGGTATACCACCGCCTCATCTCTGCCTCTCAATCTCAGCTGCAAGGGTACCGAACAACAATAGTCGAGAACTTCAGCCTGGTCAAACTCTCTTTCGTTCTCGTACCTCCCCTCCCTCAACCCCCCACGCCCCCACCCCCAGGTATACCACCGCCTCATCTCTGCCTCTCAATCTCAGCTGCAAGGGTACCGAACAACCATAAAAGAAGACCTCGCACTGCTGTTCAGTGCACCGCAGAGCAAGGCGCCCGAGAGATGGGCGGTAGCAGCGGTATTGAGTGAGAAGCTGGCTCTGGCCGGTGCTATTCAGGCGATGGATGGAGTGCGTTTGAGTTGACTCGTAAGTGTGGGAATAGAAGAGAAGACGTCGCACTGCTGTTCAGTGCACCGCAGAGCACCTGGCACCTGAGAGATGGGCCGCAGCAGCGGTGAACATTGTCTAATAAGGCTTGTTTGTGCACTTCTAGATCCCGCTCTTTCTCCGAACCAGCGCGCGCCTATGAGTGAGGTTGGTTTGTAAGAGGATGGCCTCTCGGTGGCTCTGGACTACACGTGGGTGGAGCAAGCTGAAGGTGTAGGTGATAGCAAGTGGTGATTCAAACCTGACCTAGCGAAAGATTTATTATCAAAAGGGTATTAAGGGATTCACATCTCAATCCAAGAACATCTTTGGACAATGTCTCGAGCATCTCATTGAGTGCTGAAATGTCTATCCAGCATACATACCTTTTATATGTTGCGTGCGTCCAATGAGCAACAGGTGTACAGTCGATGCTCACCTAGTCCAGTGGAATTTGCCTGTCCCGTCTACCAACTTTTCCCTCGTGCATTCATGGACATACAGCGGCCCCATGTACATTACAAAAGAACTAGGCAAGAATGAATGCATTGAATGGAAGAATTGGGTACAAGTAGCAAACCCTAGTTGGGGTTGTACCCCATATTGGCTACCCCACTACAGCCTACCAACATAATACAGTTTAACACACCCCCATAGGCAAAGTGGGGGAGAACAAAGGGTCACAAGACCAGTCCAGCAAAGCAAAGCAAAGCCCAGGGTGGATCACAACGTCACCACACTCCGAGCACAAGTAAAGGCCACAAGGCCAGTTCACATGCAGTGCTAGATATAGAACAGGACAAGCAGCAAGATATATATAAAGTACAGTACAAAGAAAGTCAAGCAGTAAGCAAATGAGGAAACGTGGACACAAGGCCTAAAGAAGTACAGTGCCGCTGATGATCACTAGGCGGGAGCGCCTTGGTGAAGATATCAGCAGTATTGGCCTTCGAGTCCACGTACACAAGCCGAAGCTGACCGCGCTGCTGAAGCTCTCGAGCAAGAAAGTAGCGAAGAGCAATGTGCTTCGTCCTGTGCTCCAGTCTGTGCTCCTGACACAAGGCAAGGGCCGCCTTGTTGTCACCGTACAGAACTGGAGGAGAACTAGGCCGCTCTCCCAAGTCAGTCAGCAGGTAGGTGAGCCAGCGTAACTCCTGTGCAGCCATGGCTGTGGCATAGATCTCAGCCTCACAACTAGAGCCGAGAACAGAAGCGGAACGGGTGGACCGCCACGAGACAGAACCAGAGCCAAGGCTGAAGGTGTAACCCTGTGACGACCGCTGCGTAGCCAGGTCGTCCACCCAAGAAGCGTCCGAGTGACCAGTGAGGACAACTCTGTCGCGTCCTCCAAGCACCAGCCCCATGCCTGATGTACTGCACAAGTAACGCAGCACCCTCTTAGCAGCCTCCCAGTGCTCTCGCCTGTGTCTCCCAGGCGCAACGTAACGAGCAAGGATGCTAAGTGGGTACGCGAGGTCAGGTCGCGTGCAAGTCATCAGGTACATGAGGCAGCCTACAAGCTCTGGGTACGGGCCACTCGGCTCTACGGACTCGTCCGAAGGTGGAGCTGAGAGAGAGTGACTGGTAGCCAGAGGTGTGGCCTGTGGTGAGGAGAACTGGAAGCCGAAGCGCTGAAGGACCTGCTGCACCATGTGTGACTGAGTCAGGGTGATGGTGCGGCGAGCTCTGTCCCGGGTGATCTGCAAGCCAAGGTAGCTACGCAGTTCACCCAGGTCAGTGCAGGTGTGTCTCTTCTGCAGCTCCGACTTCACACGAGCGAGTGCCTCAGTGTCAGCAGTAGCAAAGACCAAGTCGTCGACGTACACGAGAATGTAGAACGGCGGTAGCGACGTGTCTGTGCGTAGAAACAGCGACGGGTCAGCAGTAGACGGCGCGAACCCAAGAGCTGCAAGTGTAGTCCTCAGTGTGTCGTGCCACTCACGTGGCGCCTGGCGGAGACCGTAGACTGGCCGGCGGAGGCTCCACTGGGTACCAGGAGGAAACGACCCAGTGAAGCCAGGTGGGCGGCGCAGCCAGATCTCCTCGTGCAGGCTGCCCTGCAGGAACGCTGTGCTGAAGTCAAGAGAGTGAAGCTCGTAGTCACGCTGAGCAGCAACGTGTAGCAGAACCCGAAGAGTGGTCATCTTCGGGGTGGGGGAGAAGGTCTGGAAGAAGTCAACCCCCTGACGCTGACTGAAGCCTCTAGCAACGTAACGAGCCTTGAAGACAGGTGGAGAACCTGGCGGCCGCTTCACCCTGAAAATCCACATGCCATCGACGATGTTCGCCCCAGGAGGGGGAACCTCGTCGACGTAGGTGCCTGTGGACTTCCAGGATGCCATCTCTGCGTCCATGGCTGTCTGCCACTGAGAGGAGTAGGGACCCGAGATCGCCTCTGCGTAAGAGCGCGGAGTGGGGATGTCTAGTGCATCCGGGTCTCCCTCAGGGGCAAGCAACCAGGCCACGAGATGAGGTACAGCAGCCGCAAGAGAGTCAAAGTCCTCCTGCCTGTCCTCAAGGACGTCCGTGCCAAGAGCACACTCACCCCCGACGGACGGAGGACAGACAGACTCAGACTCAGTAACAAGACTGGCGGCGTAGTCTAGACGACAGGCAGCAGCAAAGTCGACAAGCTCAGCGACCAGGGCAGACGCAGCAGCAGACTCAAACGACGGGTCAGTGACAACAGTGGCGAGAAGACGCGTAACAGTAGGGTGGGCAGCACGAACACTGTCAGACTCAGGGTCGGGAACGTCAGGAAGAGAAGACGCAGGAGGAGACGGTAGGGGGACACGCTGTGGACCAGTGGAAGGACGAAGGGCCATAATATGCGTGCCAGGAACAGGAGGAGGACGCGGACGCGCGACACGACGACCAGTGGGACCAGTGCGAGCAGCGCGAGCAGGCGAGGCAGGACGAGACGCAGGCTCACGACGCTCCGTAAGCGAGTCCGGCTGTGCAGTGT